TGCAAGGAGAACTAAGACCTTTTAAGTGAAACTTGATTTTTTTTTTTCACTTTATAATTTCATTCTGCAGGAGTTCACTATATTTTTGACACAAAAGACACTAGAATAATTATTATCCTCTTGTATGTAATGCTTTATTTCACATTATTCTCAAGTTCCAGACACTGGAAAATTTTCAAAATCATATTGAGTCCTTGCCTTATTATCATATACTTTTGATCTCAGGATAGCTATTCTTACTTTAGTTGGCAACTTAGCTCTTCAAAATACCAAAATTAATATCAAAGTCTGGATTACATGTAATAATTTAAAAACATTTAAAAAGTTAGGGTTTTTTAAAGCTTAAAGGTAGCATAACATAAGTTCAGGCTCTTAATTAAGTTCTTCCTGAAAAATTTTTAAAATAAATTACTACTAGAATCAAAATAATTAAAATTAATGATCCAACAGTCTGTTGTACTTACACAAATTAACCATTAGAATGCTAAAGAGTTCCAAGAGATAGATTGCTCTTCAAACAGATAAATCAGCTTCAAAGTAAAATATAGTATCTCTGTGGGAGAGTCTATAAAAGTAAATGTAAATCACTTCTCAGCAAAATTGGCTCTTGCCAATAAATCTGGAAAATAACAACATTATTTCCAAACAAGAAAGATGGCTGGTTTGTTATGCACCCACAAAGGATGAACAATATAATTAGTAGAATCAGCAAATCAGAGCACACTATGCATACACATATGAATATACATATATATACATATATATGTCCTTATACATAACACACAATAACTTGTATCCCAGCTCACCCCACCCATTGTCTTCCTTCACTCTCTTGCATTATTTTATCTATTTTCCTCACTAGTCTATGATTTTGCCAAAGAGCAGAAATAATGTCTTATTCATGTTTGTTTCTCACTTCCCCTTTCCTGCTGTCCCCCCAGCACCTACCTATAACCATGTTTACATACAGAAAGAAACAAAGCAACTATTATTTAATAGGAAACAAAATAATCAAACTACAGATTGAGGTTCCTAACCTTTCGCATTTTTTGGTGTAAAGAAAAGTTTAACATCACTTAATTGGAAAAATCTCTACCGACTTCCAAGTCAACACAGAAATTTAGCTTTAAAATCCCTAAAGGTCTCCCTAAAATATCTTACACATATTTGTATCTGAGAGTATATGTAAAGTTCCTGTCCTAGCCCAGAATGTTCTCCAAATTAGACCCTTTTCCTTACACTTTGAATTAACCAATATGAGCTTTGTAAGAAGCAGACAGCTCTGATTTTGAGCCATCACCACTTACACACATAAATCCCCGATAAACTGCTTATTTTCTGAGGGCCCAGTGTGCAAAGCAGTATCATAAAGCTATGGTGTAGCACAGGAAATCTGTGTTCACCCTACTGAAAATAAGATTCAAATGTTGAGAACTGGTGTCTAAATAGTATCAGGCACATTACATTGTGTTCACTTCTCTAGGCTCCAAGGACAGTGCCAGTTAGATAAAGTGATAAATAAGCAGTAAAATGTAGTGATGAAGAAGTCAGGCAACTACTTCTGCAATTCACCAAGTAAGTGATTGTAGACTACATAAACTATCTTAGTTTCCTCAACTGTAAAATGGGGAAAATTATATTTACCTCAAGCAGCCTTTGAGAAACTTAAATAAGATGACCCTAGTCCAGCATGTAGCATGGTACCTAGCACAGTGTACATGCTCAATGAATGATAGTGATGATCATGAGGAAGATATTACAGATATGTCCAGGCAGTTGTTGACCAAGAGATGGAACAAATGGCCACAGCTGCTCAGGTAGCTAGACAGAGAAACCACTACAAAAATCCTAAAGAAATTAAGGTAGGACCTGAGGTGACATCTAAGCCAACTTTGACACTCCTAGGAAACCAACCTGCAATGCTGATGATAATTGCTTACACTACTCTCGTCATATAACACTTCCATTTCATCAACTGCCTCAATACTTAGGAACCAAAATAATAATTAATAATAAAATTTTCAAGATGGGAATCCCTACCTAAGCCAGTAGGGAAGATATTTTCCATTGTTTCTTAATATTACTCAAATAATACCAAGGACATATCTTGGTACTTTGACTGTAAGTAAAACTACCAAAGCTCATGTTTGGAAGGACTGAAACAAATATTATTAACCAATCCCCAAACACACATCAAATTGCACATACTGTAGCAAAACCTGAGGCTATTCTTAGAAATCAGCTATGTACACAAATGGAAAGTAGAGACATCAAGATGAACAAGTATAAAGTCACTAGCAACTGCTTTTTGAAAAAAGTCAAAACACTTCTTTAAATAAATAAATATATTATTATTATATGTAGTATATCTATATGCATATCTTATATAAGCAGCAAATATGAAATAGTTGTCCAAAACTGATGTATCATCAAAATTTGTATTTTTCACAGAGTTAAATGATTTTGAAATCATAAGTATTGACCACAATATTATATATATGTGTATTTATGCATATGGTTATATACTGTGTATGTATATGCATAAATATATGTATGTAGTCCTACAAATGTACATGTGAATATATCCAATGCTAACTCTTAGACTTTCAAAATCATTTAAGTCAAGCTTGGAAAATTTACTGTGATGCTATATTCAGATAAGGTTAGCTGCTAAATTCTTAATGGTACATCTTACCAGTTATTTTCTTGATATTAAGATGTCATTAACTAAGAATCACTGATAGTTGCACAGAAGAAAATACATGTTGAACATTCACATTAATTTTAAGTACCACTCCAAATTCAGAAATATTAAAATGTGAAAAATATGACTTGATATTGAAAAAGCATAACTGTGGGGTTATGTATTTCAAACTAAGACATATCCAAAAATAAGAAACTCTCTAAAGAAAATATGTGGGATTTTTAAGTGAATAATGAGACCTAACTGATAACAGTACAAATTAGGACTTGCACTCTGGACACCAGCAGCCTGTAGATTTTAAACCAAGCAAGAAATTGTCTATGTGTTCACACACACACACACACACACACACACACACACACACACACACACTAAATGTGTCATGGTTTACTGTTTTTCATAAATAGTCACCATAGAAATTACAAATTATTCACAGTAGAATTAATTCCAAGTAAGCCAGGAAGCAGAAGTTTCCATGACAAATAAGAACAACTATATAAAATCCTACAAATATATGACCCATAACACATTACAGAGCATTGATTTCCCAGAGGCTAATGTAAACAGTTCTATTTTCGTTCTCTCCTATAACTCAAATCTATTCATGCTGTACAATTACTTTTGCATAATAATATATTTTAACTGAGTAGTTCATCAGTAACAATAGGAATTCTTATATTAAATGAGCATTTTTGGAAGCATCCTATCATTTCCTTTATGATCTTTCTTGGCTATTTTTTAAAGTGTATGTTTAAAGTCTTTTATTCATGTATCAGACAACTGCATGCTTTAATTTTTTTTTAAGTCCACATAAATAGGAAGAGCTACTGAGGAATTTAATTTAATGAATGGGATTGCATTTCTGCCTCCAAGGACTAAACCCTACACATTTGATACACTGAAATGTCCATATTAAAAAATAAACAATAATCTCAAAAGAAGTGAATTCTTTTGTTCAAGAACACAAGAAAATACTTGTTCAACCAATTTTTACTGAAGGAAAAATAAATACGGATAGAAGGGCTGGGATGGAAAGAAAACTGCCCAAGAGGGTTCTTATCCAGGGAGAAAAGGATAAGGAGTTAACAAAAGAACAAAACCTAGACATTCTATTTTTCTTAGCTTTAGGCTCTAATCTCAGCTGAGATCAGAAAGGAATTCAGTCTAATATGCTCAAACAGAAATATATTTGATACATTCACCAAACAAGAATGGTAGAAGTTTTTATCCAAGGCCATTCAACAACATGAGTTAGTAATTGGGATATTAAACAGAGATTGGGGCTGAAGTTTCCTCAACTCTGCCTACTTTTTACAACAAATTTTTATTATTTCACTGAAAAAAATGGGAATAATCTCTAGATTTTGATAATCGAATCACATTTCAGACTACTCTTTCTGTGCAACCTGTGTATTTCCCTTCTGCTCACATTGATTACTCTTGCTTTTTTCACAGATCTTTCTAATTGCTTTCTTCATTAAGCTACAATTTGCAAGGGAGTCCCTTCCTTATTTTTATCACTGGTTCCTTCAAACTAACATCATCCTTTGCTGCTTTTTAGAACTTCATAGGAGCCAAAGAGTCTCCCTAGGAGTTCCCTAAGCCTAAATTTTAGATATATGGACCAAACTACAGACATTAATGTTTCAAAACCTTTTGATAGTAAAACAGATATCAATAAATTATTGAGTAAAAAGATCCAGAATGACTTGCCTAGACAATTCTCTTCCTGCAATGGTTCTCAAAGTATTGTATGTAGATTAACAGCACTAGCATCAAAAGGGGGAAATTGTAAGAAATGCAAATTCTAGGCATTACCCCCCCCCCCACCTACTGAATCAGAAATGCAGGGGAGTTTGGGATGGAGGTGAAGAAGGGGGAGGTGATTTTTATGCATGATAAAGTTTGAGAACCACCATTCTAGTGTATTCCAATACCAGATATAAGTAAATAATACTTTTCTTAGTTCTAAAAGCACAATTTTACCCTAGTGAGTAAAAGCATTTTCTGACTTCGTCAATAAAGCTTACAGCATTTTCAGAACCACTTAGGCGACTATTTATCTGATAATTTGAATTAAGAATTGAGCAGGTCCATCCGAGGCTTTAAAGCTGTTGTACTGTGCTTACTAGTATGAATGAGAATGAGGGACATCAGTTAGGATAGTGTGGGGACACTTGAGCCACAGATACAACCGTAGAGGTTAGTCAGGTTAGCACTTCATAGTCATCAAATCTTGCCCCCAAAGTGGTTTGTCGTTTTATAACTGACTTTTCTCATGTCATTTTTTCCCCAGATACCTTTATCAATGAATGTGTCAACCTTTCTGGCATACGACCAGCCCACAATAAGTTACTGTGGGGTGCATCATGAACTTCTCTCTCATAAGTCCTTTGAAACGAATGCACAGGAAGATACGATGGAAACACACCTAGAGACTGAGCTGGACCTGAGCACAATCACAACAGCTGGCCAAATCAGTGACCATAAACAGCAGCTGACTTAACTGAGCTAAGCGGTAGCCAAGGGTTGCCACCAAACTTTGTAACCTCAAGGACAAAAATGAGGAAGATTTGTTCATTGTGGACTCTCAAAACAAAACAAAACAAAAATCCCCTGTCAAAAGTCCAAGATCTATTCATGAAATAAAGAAGACATGAATTGTTTCAAGTCTACACTTTGTAATTAGCTAAGTTGTGCAGTATTTTTTTGACTTAAACAGAGTATGACCCTGAAAACAGAAAAAGAATCTTTTTTTTCAAAACTCATCCTACCTACCTGTAAAAACTGTACAGAGCTAATGTATTTTTCATATTGTAAAGTTTCAATTATAGAAACAACTGATATGTACAGTACCATAATTTAATTACATTTTACTTTACAAACTTTACACATTTCAGTTTCTAAGATTTTAAATTAACAAAAATTTATTTCTTGTGTTATTCAGAGTTACTCAGTTTTGTAGGGACTGTTTTGTTACTGCTTTTGTGCCCAGAAACCTTGACTCTAAAATTCTGTGCTGTGCGAAACATGCACGATTTTTATCATGCTTACTGCGTAGAATTTTATCTACTTGTTCCAGAAATAATACATTAACCAAAAAGGATTTAATTGTTGAGACTTGTTAAGAGGTTCTTCAATTACATAGGCAGGTTTTTCTTATAAATGAAAAAAAAAATCAAAGATTTTTTTAACACTTCTTCTCAGACTTAACTGTTGCCTTGAATTACAGCCTAGTTTCTAAGCAGTGACATGTAATGACAAAGAGGGATATTTTAACAACATATTTCTGAATGAATTGACTCATTATTTCATTATTTTGAGTAACCCATTGTTAACGGTAGGGGGAAGCATGGACAAAACATCACTGGAAACAAAGGCTGTAACCACAGCAACAGACTTTGATACACTTAAAAGGTGCAGCTGCCAGTGACAAAGAAAAACTTGTTACATCTCATTATTTTCAGGCCAAGGTGGGAAGGATAGAGCATAATAATTGTACAGTAGCAAATTTTCTCCTAATTAACCCAAAGTGGTTTACCTAAAAATAACCATCAGTTAGTGCAAAATGTGCCTGGTTTTAAGACAACTTTTCATTTAGAACTGCGAGGCTATATTTTGGGAACATCTCAACGGAAATATGTGAAAATTTTCACTTTGTGTGCTACATCAATTCTCTCCTGGAGAAGAACTCTAAACATTGATAGCTCATTCAGTATAGATATGAGCCATGGTGGAGAACTTTATAACACAAGTAAACTGTGAATATCTTTTAATATGTTCTAAATTGTTTATGTTGCCATCCATAATGAGATTTGCTTCTAAATTATATGAAAAATAACCCAGAGTAATTTGAAGCCACCCCAGATCATATAGTGATTATGTAATTTGTATTATAAAGCTAATTTAAGTGAAATTATGAAAACCTAACTTTTCAGAGGCTGAAATAATCAACTTGTTTCTGTTGTTTGCTTGACACAGGTTATTGTTTGAAAATGTTATTTTATCTATGGTATCCACACATTCTTTTGTGTGTTTTTTATTATAAAACTACAAGTTTCAATTGAATTGCACTAGGAGAGATGCCTTTTTATGTTGTCATTTTGCATTCATAACATCAAAAATAGGTTGAGCAAATGTCAATCCAACAGGGGTCAAACACAATCAAAAACAATGAAGAAAAGAATTTGTTAAGACCAATGTCAAGTTTTTAATTTCTTATTTATTCCAAAGAAATTATACCTACAAAAGTCTAGTTTTATGCAGATTTATCATGGCAAATTTAAGAGCAACTTAAAGAGGAATAAACTTTAAAAATGTACAGCAAATTTTTCTTGAAAATACAGTCGTAAAAAAAATTGGAAGAAGCAAACTCTTACTAATTTAAATGAAACTAAATGTCTCAGTACTTATATCAACTATTTAGCATCCCAGATTTTGTAACATATTTTGCATAAATTATTTGCTATTCAAAATTTTTTGTCATTTTACATCTAATTTTCATCTTTACTTTTTCCAATTTCTAATGTCTTTGCAATATATTATTCTTAGTGTTCTTAATCCTCTACATTAAGATTTTGTTTTGCATAGTTAGCAAATTTATAGAGGATTAATTATAAATCTATTCTTGTGGGTCTGAAATTGGATGCAAAATTTTATTTATTATGTAAACCAAAATGTCATTTGCAATCTTTTTTTCATCAGAAGTTGTCCTTGCAAAGATCAAGCATCTTTTAATTGGCGTAAAAAAAAGCATTTTATATATATTTCCAGACATTTTCAAATTGATAAATAACTTTTAGAAATATAAGGTTCTAGGGAGGTTCACAAATGTATGCCCTTGACTTCCTGAAGCAAACATTTTTTAAACATTTTAAATTCATCTAAGTAAACAACTATAAATAGAAGCAGTCATCTTGGAACCACAGCTCTGTGCATCTGAGAACTTAATACAGTAAGAGCCGAATAAACTAAGAATTTTTAGATTTCTCATATTTGAAATTAAACCCAAAGGATCTTTTACAAGAAAAAAAAAGAAGATGCTGGGTTTTTGTTTGCCTAATTTTTATTTTGCCATGTTCAGGGCCATGGGGGAGGGTGGAAAAGGGAGTGAAAACCTCTTAGAGGAAACTATGTCTAGAATCTTTATCACACATTTGCAATTTATATATTTGTGTCTAAAATCCTTAATTATAACTTATCTTTTTCAGTATTCAGTGATCTCCTACTTCCTCTTGCTAACCACCCTGTCCCCAAGTCTCCTCCCTCTCTGCCTATTGCTCATTTAAACAACAGAAATGTTGATATGTTTGGGATCAAAAAATGCAGTTTGACCCAGCATGGTTACAATAACCATAGAAGCTGCAGCAAAAAATAAATTTATGCAGTGTTTTGAGGTTTATAAACCACATTTTATATAAATTATTGCATTTTGTCTTCATAACCATCCCATGAAGACACATTAATCTCAAATAAGTTGAGACTTACCCAAGAACACAAGGCTAATAATTGGTGGAAATGAACCATTCTCAAAATTCATAGCCTGTTAGTCTTCCCACTAAACTAAAAGCCTTCTCTCTGATCAGAGCCAGAGAATTTCCAGAGATAGTGAATAGAATGAAAAAAAAATGTTTGTCATGTTGTTTAATCTCTAATTTAACTCAGTTCTTCTATCTGTATAATATATGAGCTAAATGAACTCTTTCTATGTGCTACGCTGGCTCTCACATTAAAATTTTGTTCAAAAAGTAAAGCAAGTCATAGATTTCTTAACATATTATGTCATTTGTAAATGTGCAGATGAGTTGCTTCAAGGAAGTGGATATATGTAGGCCCAAGATATGGACATAAAATCAAGAACCACAAGGAAAGAAATCAAAGACCATCTAAATTGAGATTGCGTGGGTTATAAAACAGATCCATAGTGCGATGTTCAACACATGTTCAACACATGTTCAAATGAACACATACTCAATTCAGAGCTAATTGGGAAGACTTTTATACTTTTTTCCTTTTTTTTTTAATCTCAGCAACAGTACTTCTTAAATTGTGTTCTTAAACCTTTCTTAATACAGAATAATTTTCTCTATTCTCCTAATAAAAATGGAATGTAATTTATCCAAACTGATGTATAGATGCCAAAACATATTCTAACAAGCAAGTAGTATTTTATTGATCTGCTCATTTTTACCAACTCTCTATATTCCCTCTTGAATGTTCCAGAAAACCATAAAACCATACAGATTTTAATATAAATTATATTTTTAGAAGGAAAGAAAACTTGTCTACATTCAACATTCAAGACAAATTACATAATCCTATCTGAAGTCATTTCAGACTCCACAAACTCCTTGGAAATAGCAATATCTCTTTGCAAAAATATTTTTAAAAATAAAGCCACTGTAAATGGGAGTGAAGACCTTATTTGGTTATGTCTGCTCCTGACTAGAAAACAGATATCATCTCTCAACCTAAACATTCAAAATAAGTAAAGAAACTGAAAGCACGAAAATAGATAACATATGTGAACTATTAGTATGCTTGAAGAAAGAAGATCAGATGTGCTGAGTAGATGGAGGTACAGGAGGGAAGAGGAAGTAGGACTGGCAGATATTTAGCCTCAGGAAAAACAGTGAAAAATCTTTACAGCAAAAAACAGTAACATCTTACACTGACATACCTCTTAATGGTTTAACTCGCTGGGTAATAAATAGTATAATGACCTGGAAACACATAAAAAGTCCCAAGGTCTAGATGGGTTAGCTATGCAGTTAAGAATGCAGATGCACTACTCTTTCAGTTAAGAGTTTCCAACTACTGCTATGACCTCAATGCACTACCACTGTCTCTAACTAGAGAGGTACCAAGCGCAGAAGATCCAGGATCCATGCTTTCAAAACTGACTCTACCACAAGGGTAGAGTAGACTGACAATCAGCAACTGTGCTTTATTTTAATATCAATTATAATGAGGAAGAAACATTTAAGAATACACCAGAGTGGTGATGGGTTATTTTCAAAGCTCTCTCACAGCTTCCATTATGATTTCAATGTGAGATAGGAGGCTGTTTATATTTAACATTTTTTTAATTTAGGGTAAAATTCATGTTTTAAAAAGTCCACAGTTGATTATTTACTTTTCTATTAAGAACAGTGAACGTAAAGCAACAGAGTGAGTGCTTGAGCCATCTAGGACTTAGAAAACTCTTGAGTTTCTTCCTCCTCTTTCCCAAACATTTATAGATTTTGTTTTATATGTGTGTCTTACTGACAAGCTAAGTAAAAATTGGTTTTGAATAAATCAAGTAATATTTCAAATGCATCAAGGGACCTTGTGATAAAGGATACTTGAAATAAATCCTATTTGTTTTCTAATCTGAAACATCACTCACTAATTTATCATTTGTAAGTTGATTTCAATATATCTTGTGTTATATAATGCGGCACACCTGTACTGCATGGCCTTGAAGGTTCTATGATGCAGTCTTTGCCTCAGGCTGTGTAAAAT